TGTCCGATTAATTTCTTTCTAATTTTAGTAGAGACGGGGTCTCGCTCTTGCTCAGGCTGGTCTCGAACTCCTGAGCTCAAACGATCCGCCCGCCTCAGCCTCCCAGAGAGCTAGGATTACAGGCGTGAGCCACCGCGCCCGGCCTTAGAGTTCTGTTTTTCATTTTTAGATCTTTAATCCGTCTGAGATTTATTTTGGCCTATGGTTTGAACTAGGGATTTTATTTTTCTCTTCCATATGGCATGTCAATTGTCCAGCATTCTTTCACCACTGGTTTGTTGTTTGTTTGTTTTTAGAGACAGGGTCTTGCTCTGTTGCCCAGGCTGGGAGTGCAGTGGTGTGATCATAAATTACAGCAACTTCAAACTCCTGGGCCCAAGAGATCCTTCTGCCTCAGGCTCCTGAGTAGTTGGGACTACAAACATGCACCACCACGTCCAGCTAATTTTTCTTATTTTTTGTAGAGATGAGGTCTTGCTACGTTGCCCAGGCTTGTCTCAAACTCCTGACCTCAAGTGATCCTCCCACATTGGCCTCCCAAAGTGCTGGGATCACAGGTGTGAGCCACTATGCCCAGCCTAAGAGTAATATTTAAAAAATGTAATTCAGATCATTTTACTAACTTGCTTAAAACCCTCCTATGTCTTTTGACTGCACATGGAGTAAAATCCAAATTCCTTACTGTGACCCCTTTCTACCACTCCTATCTCATCTCTCAACACAGCAGACTTCTCTTAGGCCTTTGTACTAGGTATATCCCTTACCTGGAAGGCTCCCCAGATCTTTACACAGCTAGCTACCTCTTGTCATTTAGGCCTCGGCTTAAGCTCTTCCTCAGTTTTTCCCTGATTTATCCAGTTGAAAGTAGGTTTCTAATTATTCTCTCAACTCGTTTTATGTAGTACATAAACATATTTCCATGTTTATCTGTTTATTCTATTTTTCCTTTCATTAGAATATAAATTCAACCAGAGAGGATATATGTCTGTTTTGGTCTTTCCTAAAGCCCCTATCTTTCACATGGTAGGTGCTTAATTTTGGCTGAATAAATGAATGTTGTACACAATCAGTGATTAGTACCTGCTTGTTAGTTCAAATTGTGGGAGATAAATTGAGGAGGCAGGTGGAAGGAGACTAATGTGAAAATGTGCAGATACCTTGAACATCAGCTTAATCATATTTTTGAGACAGTCTCACTGTGTTGCCCGGGCTAGAGTGCCGTGGCGTCATCCTAGCTCACAGCAACCTCAAACTCCTGGGCTCAAGCGATCCTCCTGCCTCAGCCTCCCGAGTAGCTGGGACTACAGGCATGCGCCACCATGCCCGGCTAATTTTTTCTATATATTTTTAGTTGTCCAATTAATTTCTTTCTAATTTTAGTAGAGACGGGGGTCTCGCTCTTGCTCAGGCTGGTTTCGAACTCCTGAGCTCAAACAATCTGCCCGACTCAGCCTTCCAGAGAGCTAGGATTACAGGCGTGAGCCACCGCGCCCGGCCCGCTTAATCATATTTTAATAGTTCCTAGCAGAGATTCTGACATAGGTAGCAAATAAATATTTGTTGAATGACTAGACAACAATAAATGCTATTACTAGCTTGTATCTTGGGCAAATTACTTAACTTTTCTGAGCTTAGTTTCCTCGCTTATGAAGATTAAAACTTACTTTACAGGGTTGGTCTACGAATTATATGATCATATAATGCATGTCATGTGCCCAGCACATAGCAGGTACTTAAAGTTAGTTTCTTTCTCCTTACATATGTATACTACTACATGGCTTACAAAGCTCTTGAAAGCTTTTCTAGGTACATGACCTCATTTTATTTTCACAACCTTCTATAATACTTCTCATTAGCCTTATTTTACAGATGACAAACAGGCTCAAGGATTAAGACATAGTCTCTTAAGGTAATGAGAAGCCAATAGACACGTTTTATAAGCAGTGGAATGACATGAAGAAAAGCTGTGTTTTTTTGAAGATTAATCTGTTAGTGACCTATAAAATGGACTGAATTGAAAATTGGAGAAATATTATTTTGATTACTAGCATAAATACCAAGTTTAACATGATAAGGGCCTGTACTAGGTCACATAAGAGTGTTTAAAAGCCTAATGAACTTAAACTACTGAAATAGCCAGATAAGCAGGGGGAAAAAAATTCAAAAATGGGAGTTTTCAGCTCTGGTTGCATGAGAAAATGATGGTACCAATAATATAATTAAGAAATCAAACTAGACAAAATTGTTGGCATAAGACTTGCCCTTCAATACCTATACGTAATTTCTGGCAAATAAAAACAAACAATTGAGCCTTCTTCAAGGCCGTTGCAGATTCTTCTTCTCTGTCCTCCCATTGGTTTCACCACGTGGATAAGAGCATCCTCAAGTCCTCCTGATCTTGCTTTCTCTGGAAGCAGTCTGGTGAGGAGAGGATAGGGGTGGTATGGAATTACAAACCAAGGTTTTGAACTTCCAGAACTTTGGTTAAATCGTCTTTTTCCTTCTCTGGAGAATAAGGGGACCCTTATTTCGCCTTCCTCCCTAGGTTTAAAACTAGAGATTCTTTCCAGATCCGCACAAAGAGCTTTTATACAGGCGCTCTCCTCCACGCTCAAGGTGCTCTCGCTCGCTGGTTTAGCTCGCCCGCGGAGCGCAGCCACTTGCGGTGCGCTGACGTCACTTCCGGCGCGCTGACGCTCAGTTCGGCGTGCCGACGCCTGCGTCAGCAAAGAGCGGGGCTGGGGGTACCCGGTTTGAAGTCGTGCGGGTCGGAGGACTGCCGCCTCCGCTACAGCCTCCGACCCCTGCTCCCCGGCCGCGGCGGGGACGAGCTCGGGTAGGCGGCAGGGCAGATGCCCGAGGGCCTGCGACGGGACGCCCCGCGCCGCACCGGCCGCTCCCCTCTGTTCCGCGGCCTGGGCCTGTGCCGCTCTGCTCTCTGGAAACTAGCGACTCAGCGGCGCGGCGCTTAGCTCGCGGAGAGCTCCGGACCGCAGGCGCCCGGCCATGGCGGTCTCCAGGTGGGTCTCGCTTCTGACGAGCGAACGGGAAGGCGACACAGGCGAGGCACGGTCTCCTCTCAGCGCCCCCACTCTTAGAGAGGAGCGGTTCTCATTGTCACTCGGCTCCGGCGCCTTCTTCCCTAGACTTCGGAGTTCACCCTTCGATCGGCGGAGGTTTGGGCTCGGGTTACTCCTAGTAAATCGGTTCAAGAATTTTTTTTTTCTTGTTAAATAGACCCTTTGACACGTTAGAGCTAGTTTTTCTTTTTCCTCACCATGTTTCTCTTCTTGGTTTCTCTTCCCTCTTTCAGTTCTAGGAGAGTAGGTCTCTTACCTTTCTCAGTATTCTAAGGCTGATCTCCAACCTCCATTTCATAGGAAAACTTGGTAGTAACTGTCGAAGAAGGAGAAATTTGAATTACTATTATCTAAAATGTCAAATTTATGTTAAATTTTTTATTTACGATTTTAGGGATATGTTCTTTCCCGAGGTACTTTTTTTTTTTTTTTTTTACATTAAGGCTAATTTCTCTTTTTGTTTAGCAGTAAACATTTCATCGTCAGCGTTATAATCTTAAACAGATTATGAAAGATATATCACAAATTTTAAATTATTTTAAAATATTGCCTGTCAACAGGAAACTCTAGGAAAACTGTTGAAACACTAAGAAGACATTTATTTGTATGGCTGTAGTAGGAAAGTTGTCCTTTCCTCCAATATGATAAAATGGTTGAAAAACTTGTGAGCTGTTTGATTTCGGTGGCCTTATGTGCATGTAAGTAAGGGATAGTTTCTCTGTGATAGTCATCAGAAGGATTCACCAAGTTTTTTAGAGTTGATGAGGTAACTTTTAATGAGAATTGGGTTCTTCTACCACATAGACTGAAGGAATAAATGATAAAAACAAGTAGTTTTCATTCAGTTTAGACAATGCAACATATTCCTTGAGCACATTATGTGCTCAAGTTTTATCTGTTTTGCAAGGGAAAGGATAACCCATCCCTTACAGACTCCCTAGATAACTGATGAAATAGTGTGTGGGAGAAGCTCATGGGAGTTGGGCAAAGGAAGTTGCTAGGTACCTGTAGTATGGGGTATCTAATTTTTATTTTACAGATTAATTAATCCATCTAGTTTGAGCAAATTCTTATTTCTTTATAAAACTGTTTTAAGAGGCCGGGCGCGGTGGCTCACGCCTGTAATCCTAGCTCTCTGGGAGGCCGAGGTGGGCGGATTGTTTGAGCTCAGGAGTTCGAGACCAGCCTGAGCAAG